CCCGGCCCCCACCCCTGACTGAGTGTCTGCGGCACAGACAGTAGACAGCTGCATGTGTGTATTTGCTCTTTGGAAGCCAGTGACTTCATGACTGCATTGACGTCGCCGCACTCGGCGGCGATCTGCTGTCTGTCGGCAGGCAGCCCGCTCTCCCGCCCGTCATCGAAACGGATTGTAGACGTGCTAATCAGTCATTTTCTTCCTCCTCCGCCGGCTGTGGTTCCGTGCTCACGTCCAGCTCTATTTACGCCGTTTTGACTTCCGCGCTCAGACATTTCAGCTGTCGCCCACGTGTGCCCGCAAACAGAACAGGTCAAGAACCGACCTACAAAGACCCCCCCCCCCCCAAACACTTGTGTTGCCTCCATGAGCGTGATTTCCTAACAAAGCAAAATCCTGCTTGATGACCTTGTGAATGATACGATGCACATACATAAACAAAAACGAGTAACGTTGAAATTGGCAAAAGAAACAACAACAATAGGGTCATTGAATAAAACGAATGAATTCATTTTACAATTTTAATAAGATTTTATTGTCCAAAAACAATTAAATAAAATCCCGAAAAACCAACACGGTAATTTCCAGAGATGATTTGTTTTCTGAGCGTAAAGTTGAAATATTACACCCCCAAAAAAAGTTTCACATGGTTAAAGAGATTGAAAACGACGAAACTTGCTCATTCACCCACGAATTGGACGCCACATAAACATGCTCAAAAGCACCTTAAAACGTGGCATTTTTCAACCAGATTAGCAAAAGGTCAACAAAGGGACGGCATATGCTTGATGGCGCCGAAGAAGCCCGCGAGACTGCAGCTTTTGTTTCAATAGTTGACACGAGTAGCAGCCACCAAGTTTCCAAAAACTGCAGTTTAGAGACCTAGAATGGCCACCAAGAAACACAACGAAACCCGCAGAACAGAATATCATCAACAAATCCGTCATCATCAAACTCTTTCAGCTACATAAGTTTCACCTTTCTTGGACCCTGCTATGAAAAGGAAAAAAAAAAAAGCAAGCGTATTTGTTGGGCCTCAGATCAGAACGTTGCTTCAGGACAACCGCTTTGCGACTACAATGACCGCCGTTGAGGCTGCGGCTTGTGGAATGCACTTGCTAATGTGGTTCATAACTTCCGAAGCAATA